AAATTATCTGTCGTGTTTTCTTTACGCGACCTTAGAAAATATTAATTAGGAGGAAATTTGGATTATTTTACCCTTATTTATATCTTAAGATATAATCTCTCTCCATTAAATATTTATTATATTTATGTGATATCTCCATCTTCAAGAACAATTATTATTAAGGGTAAAATGGAAAAAATACAATTTATTTTATCTTGAACTTCTAAAATAACAAATAATTTGAGACAAATATTTTTAGAAAGTACGAAAATAATTTGAGATGGAGGGATTACATTTTTTCTTGATTTGAAATATAAATTTAGACCCGTGAATTAAATGAAAAGAGCACGTGTTTCTTTTATTACTTTTTTTTTCTTATACTCTCCGTCTCAAATTATTTGTCATATTTCTCTCTTACGTATCCCTTAAGACACATTCAAGGGGATGTGCCATGGTGCATGCTGTTCGCCGATGACATAGTTCTGATTGATGAGTCGCGAGCCGGTATTAACGAGAGGCTGGAGGTTTGGAGACAGGCTCTTGAATCTAAGGGTTTCAAGCTTAGCAGGACGAAGACGGAATACCTAGAGTGTAAGTTCAGCGCCGAGCAGGGGGAAGTGGGCGTGGATGTGAGGCTTGCATCTCAGGTCATCCCGAGTAGAGGCAGCTTCAAGTACCTTGGGTCGGTTATCTAGGGGGAGGGGAGATCGACGAGGATGTCACTCACCGTATTGGGGTAGGATGGATGAAATGGAGGTTAGCATCTGGAGTATTGTGTGACAAGAGAGTGCCACTGATACTCAAAGGTAAGTTCTATAAAGCAGTGGTTAGACCGGCCATGATGTATGGGGCTGAATGTTGGCCGGTTAAGAACTCACATACCCAGAAAATGAAGGTAGCAGAGATGAGGATGTTGAGGTGGATGTGCGGGCATACTAAGATGGATAAGATTAGGAATGATGATATTCGGGAGAAGGTGTGCGTGGCTCCCATTGATGACAAGATGCAGGAAGCGAGGCTCAGATGGTTCGGGTATATTCAAAGGAGAAGCCCAGATGCTCCGGTAAGGAGGTGCGAACGGCTGGTTGTGGAGGGCACGAGAAGAGGTAAAGGGCGGCCTAAGAAGTATTGGGGGGGGGGGGGGGTAATTAGGCAGGATATGGCGAGGCTTCAGATATCTGAGGACATGGCACTTAATAGCAACATGTGGAGGTCGAGTATTAGGGTTGTAGGTTAGGAGGTAGTTGAGTCTTAACTTATGTCATGACTTTGTGAGACTAGTTTGGTAGGGATACTATTTCGCTTTTGCTTTGTATCTTTCTTCTTGATTTCATGTTGTTCCTATTTTTCATATTATTTCATATTATTTCTGTGGTGTTACTGATATTGTCTCCTTTTGTCTTTTTGTCTTCTTGAGCCGGGGGTCTTTCGGAAACAGCCCCTCTACTCTTTTGGGGTAGGGGTAAGGTCTGCGTACACACTACCCTCCCCAGACCCCACTAGTGGGATTTCACTGGTCGTTGTTGTTGTATCATAGCTTGTGGTACTAACAATAGTTTGGCCAACACGGGTTATTATGGAGGTAGGTACTCTTTCATCCTTAATTAGAGATTTCAGATTTGAGCCCTGGGTATTGAGTCGCCTTGTTAGGGAGAACTTTAGCCCGTAATATGAGATTTTTCGTGACGAATTCAAACTTAGTCGAGTCAATATAAATACTGAACACCAGGTGAAAACAAAAGAATTTTATAACTTTTAGCCCGCGCGAGAAACTATTTACATTCGGTAGTCGAAAAAGTGTATAAAACTTATATAATTTTTGTATATAACATACAAAATGTATATATATACAAATATTATACAAAAAAAATACATTCTTTTTGCTATTATTTGAGAGCGGCTATATAGTATCATTTTCCCAAACTATATTGCGGAATAGAATCCATTCTTTTTTCATGGATGCGAGCGACACCTTTACGATTGGTAAATTAACACTTTGCACTCATAGAAAAATTCTGAGCACCGCATTCGCCAATCATGAGGATCATTGCATCTAATCAAACTGTCATGTGAATTGTGATTATTTAGGGTCTTTACATTATTTACTTACATCAAAGGGCTTCTAAGTGCATTATATTACTTGTTTCAGAATCTTGCATCTACCTCTAAATTACTTGTAACTTTTGGTTGTGGACAAGAGCTACAAGACAACTCCAAGAAGTTTGTGAGACTACGGACCGTTATTGTGGATAAAAACAACATAAGCTAAAACTGTTGCTAATTCATACATATAAAAAAGGGACTACGTGACCGCGAAGCAACACCCATTAATAAGCACAAAATAGTAGCTCTCTATCTAAAGATGCTCCCTCGTATAAATGCCATGTTCCTCTTAACACATTCTCCAAAATTCAACCACTACTACTACCCCACAATAGTTGGTTCAAAATCTTTGTGAACTATGGCACTTCCTATGAAATCATATATACCAATTTTCTCCTTATTCATTTTGACACTAGCTCTTTCTTGTAATGCTGGTGAAATTTCTATTTATTGGGGCCAAAATGCAAATGAAGGAACTCTAGCAGAAACTTGTGCCACCGGAAACTATGAAATTGTGAACATAGCTTTTCTAGCGACTTTTGGCAATGGCCAACAACCCACGATAAATCTTGCTGGTCATTGTGATCCAAGTCTTGGCGAGTGCACCAAATTAAGCCCGGACATAAAATCGTGCCAAGCAAAAGGAGTCAAAGTAATCCTATCCATTGGAGGTGGCGCTGGATTTTATTACCTTTCCTCTGCTGACGATGCTAGGGAAGTTGCCACTTATCTTTGGAACAATTTCTTAGGGGGACAGTCGAGCACTCGTCCTCTTGGCGATGCTGTTTTGGATGGAATCGACTTTGATATTGAAGGCGGAACGAATCTATATTGGGATGTTTTGGCCAAGTCACTTTCTGCATATAGTAGTATGGGGAAAAAGGTGTATTTAACAGCAGCCCCTCAATGCCCATTCCCTGATGCTTGGATTGGAAATGCATTAAAAACAGGGGTCTTCGATTACGTTTGGGTTCAATTCTATAACAATCCTCCTTGTCAATACAGTTCTGGTGATATTAACAATCTTGAATCTGCTTGGGAACAATGGACTTCAGATATTCCGGCTACAAAGATTTTTCTGGGATTACCAGCAGCTCCTGCAGCCGCGGGAAGTGGATTTATCCCTGCTGGTGATCTCACTGCTCAACTTCTTCCCAAAATAAAGGGCTCAACTAAGTACGGTGGTGTAATGCTTTGGTCAAAATACTATGACGATCAGACTAATTATAGTTCTTCAATCAAGAATGATGTCTGAAATGGGGAGCCATATGTTAAGTCTTATAGTGACTAAACATGCTGGGGGAAAATTGAGCCGTATGTTAGTCTTATAGTGACTAAACATGCTGGGGGAAAATTGAGCCATACGTTAGTCTTATAGTGACTAAACATGCTGGGGGAAAATACATATATATCTAATATCATCTCTTTTTATACATATATATATATATAACATTATGTAAATAAGTTTTCGCTATATGAGTCGTGCACTACTTTTTATTTGTCAAGGTTCCTCCTACAGCAGAAAACAAAACAACAGAACTTGTGTCTTTTTTCCTATTAAAATTATCAGAAGTTTTATAGATTTTTGAAGCAGATAATGAATTTCCTTAGGTTATCAGGCAATACCGAGAAAAATTAGTCAATTATATAAGATTTGTGATTTGCAATTACCTGGCAAGATAAAAGCGCTAGTATACATGATCTCTAAGAGACAATAATATATAGTCATTATATTCACACTTGCTTGTTGTCTAAGAAAATTCAGCACCAAACACTAAATTTGTATCTTGTAGCAGGGGCGGAGCTAGCACCGTCGGTACGGGGTAGAATTTTGAACCGATAAAACTTTAAATCCTGGCTCTACCTGTGCTTGTAGGGGCCGAATGGATCGCCTTGGGCCAGGCCAGTAACAATCCAACGTCAAACTTAGATCGGTTAAGCCCAAGTAACTGCATAAATTTGTCTCTTTATTCTTAATCGAGTGGTTGGGCAAGTCCAACAGCATAAATCGAGGTAGTTTTCAACTATGTATACTTTGTATCCACATACCTATATCAGTATTCTTTGTAAATTAAAAGCTACAACATAACAAATGAAGTTTTCAACTATGTATACTCTCTCTGTACCGTTTATTTATGTACTATTTTATTTTTAGTTTGTTCCAGAAGATAATGCTTTTCTATACTTGAAAGATAATTTAACTTTTAATTTCTCATTTTATTTTTAAAGGAAGTTATTATAATCATACAAATATTATGACATGTTTAAGATCATACAAGTTATAAAAGTCTTTTAACCACACAATTCTTGTACTATAAGTTTCAAAAGACTTCATTTCTTTCTTAAATTCTATTCCGAGTCAAACTACATCATATAAATTAACATAAAAATACTTATTAGTTATTCTCGTATAGAGCCAAGCCATTTAATTTCTGCCTACATTATTGTCAGAATCAGCAGAGTTCAGTATTTTTTTGTTTAAATGAGCAGGAAATGGCATTCCATGTAAAACTTATCTGTCATTCTTCTGCGTACCCAAATTGATACCTAGCTTGTGGCTTGTGGTACAGAGCACCACCGATAATATCGTAACTATTTGTTAATTGTTATTTACTTTAAATTAAATAACTCAGCTAATATTAATAGTTAAAACCATATTAGAGTACATATCAGTAGATAAAAATACATGTATGAAAGATGTTTGTCTTGTGCATGTATATTTATTAATTCGGTATAAACATCGCAGATAAAATTTTAGTATGCAGGTACATTGCGGCAATTAGGAGCTACTTGATTATTATTACTTTTGGAAGCTTTGTAATCATCGATATCGTCACTACGTTCAAGTTCTTGTCTCTTCCAATATGTCACGACCCAAATCCTAACATGTCGTGATGGCGCCTATCGATGGTATTAGGCAAGCCGACATTTTTAAAAACACTTCCAATATTACATAGAAGATAATTCAAAAGTTCCTAAATAAAACAGAGTTTTCGAAAACAGAATTTAAACTCAAAACACAAGTGCGGAATAATAGCCCTATCATCGGAGTGTCACTAAGACATGAGCTATCTAAGCAACCAGTCTAAGAAATAGCGTCTACAAGAGTCTATATCAAATACAAATAGAGAAGAAGACAAGGAGGGAGAAACAAGGACTGCGAACGCCGGGCAGCTATCTCGTAAATCTCCGACAATCAACCGAGCACGAGATCAACGCCCACCGTGTTCGGAAACACCTGGATCTGCACATGAAGTGTAGGGTGTAGCGTGAGTACAACCAACTCAGTAAGTAATAATAATAAATAAGGAACTGAAAGATAGTGACGAGCTACACAGATATATTGCATTTCCAGTAGTCTCAGCAAGGAAAATAGACATGCTTCCCAAATCTGGTAAATCAAGTCAAATCAGTGTGTTCAAGTCAAGTTCAAGTAAAAACCGAATAAAATATCTTTCAGAAGTTTTCAAAACAATGACATAAGGCAGCTGTGTGCATCAATAATGAAATCATATACAACCTCTCAGGCAATCCTCACTCAGTCCTCCCATTCACTCCAACCTCACAATCACTCATTCCTCACAGTCACTCATTCCTCATGATCACTCACCACTCGGCACTCGACACTCGCACTCAGTAGGTACCTGCGCTCACTGGGAGTGTGTACAGACTCCAGAAGGGCTCCTACAGCCCAAGCGCTAAATCAAGCCAATCATGGCACAGTCAATGAAACATGTTGCGGCGTGCAGCTCGAACCCATAAATATCCTCATAATCAGGCCCTTGGGCTCACTCAGTCATCAATCTCTCTAGTCTCTCGGTCTCTCAGAAATCAGGGAAAATCAGCCCAAACAGCAATAACATGATGTATCAATAATAATAACAGAGACTGAGATATGATATGCGAGTAAAAACTGCGACTAAGTACAATTAGCATTTAGCAGGCATTTCAACATGTAACACGGCCTCTGTGGGACCCAATAATACCAACACATAGCCTAGACATGGTTTCTAACATGATTTACAGTCAAATTTCTATAACAAACAGAGAGCATATAGCTAACAACAAGATATTCAACTTTACAGATTCCACGGGACGGACCAAGTCACAATCCACTCGGTGCACGCCCACACACCCGTCACCTAGCATGTGTGTCACCTCCAAAATAATAACATGACACCAAGATCCGGGGTTTCATACTCAGGACCAGATTTATAACCGTTACTTACCTCAATCCAAGAAAAACGCTACTCCAAAATGTCTTTGCCTCGCGAGTTGGTCTCCAAATGCCACGAATCTAACCACAAACAGTACAACACAATTAATACGGGCTAAAGGAATCAATTCCACAAGAAGAATACGAGATTATATCTCAAAATCCGAAATCGGCTCAAACCCGGCCCCCGAGCCCACATCTCGAAATCCAACAAAAGTCCCAAAACCCAAAATCACATTCACTCACGAGTCTAACCATACTAAATTTACCAATATCCGACTCCATTTGGTCATCCAAATCCCCAAAATTTACTCTCCAAATCCCTAGCCTCAAACCCCCAAATTTCACCTCAACACCAACAATCTAGGTGCCAAAAACAATGGGGAATCAAGATTTTCAATAATCCCCTCGAAAATACCCTCCAAAATCGCCTAAGTCCGAGTTCAAAATGTTGAAATGAGACTAAAATCGCGAACCCTTGTTTTTAAACATTCTGCCCAAGCTTTTCGCACCTGCGGAACTGCTTCTACGGTTAAATTCCCGCTTCTGCGGAAGTCACTTATCCAGCTGCCTCTGCTTCAGCGATCATAGGACCACATCTGCTCATATTGCAGGTGCGAAAATACCATCGCACCTGCGGATCAAACTCGCATCTGCGCCCTTTTGCCCGCTTCTGCGACAATCGCAGGTGCGAGAATGTCTTCGCACCTGCAACCTCTGATCAACTCTTCCTTGGTCACTTCTGCGATTCATGCCACGCTTCTGCGGGCTCGCACCTGAGGTGCCCACTCCGCAGGTGCGGTTACACCAGTAGCAACAACACTTCAGCTGCTTCACCAACTCAAAATCAAGTCTGTTAACCACCCGAAATCAACCCGAGGCCCCCGGGACCTCAACCAAACATACCTACAATTCTTATAACATGATACGAACTTAGTCGAATCCTCAAATCACCTCAAATAACATCAAAATACGAATTACACACGGATTCAAGCCTAATGAACTTCGAAATTGCCATATTCTACAAACGTCGCCAAAACCTATCAAATCATGTCCGATTGACCTCAAATTTTGTACACAAGTCATGAATGACACCACGAACCTACTCCAACTTCCGAAAAATCAATCCGACCCCGATATCAAAAAGTCCACTCCATGTCAAACTTTCTAAAATTTCATCTTTCGCCAATTCAAGTCTAATTCTACTACGGACCTCCAAATCACAATCCGGACGCGCTCCTAAGTCCAAATCACCTAATGGAGCTAACGGAACCATCAAAATTCAAATCCGAGGTCGTTTACACATAAGTCAACATCCGGCCAACTTTTTCAACTTAAGCTTTCAATTAAGAGACTAAGTGTCTTAATTCACTCCGAAATCACTCCGGACCCGAACCAACTAATCCGATAAGTCATATAACAGCTGTAAAACACAAAAGAAGCAGAAAATAGGTGGAACCAGGGTCAAATAATACAGAAGCATCTCGGTGACATACTGAGACAATACCTGTGATCACTGTGTCTAAAGCAATAGCATCTGGTCTGGTAGGAAGTGCATAGAAACGGGACTGACCGCCACCTGATTAGCCTCCCCCTCTTGGGCGACCCCTAGCTAACTGAGCGCCACCTCAAGCTGGCTGGGCGGGTGGTGTAGCAGCTGGTGTGGAAGATGCAGCCTGACTCCTCTGCTGTGCTGAACCTCCATGACAACGAGGGCACTACCTCCACACATGCCCAAACTCTCCACACTCAAAACAACTCCCTGGTGCTGGTGACGGGGACTGAAGGGAGCCCCGAGCACCGGGATAACTGGTAGAACGACCTAGCATAGATGAGCCCTGAACCGATGGAGCACGAGACGAACTCTGAGCTGGAAGGGCACTGAGAGATGAGTGACCCTGATGAGAACTGTGTGAACCATGGCCAGATAATGCACCACCGTGAACTGGGCGAGTCGTCTGGGCATGCTTGAATGGACGACCCCTGCCGTGGTAGAACTGACCTCCAAAAGGAACCCCACTAAAACCACCTGATCCACGAGACCTCTTGGCCTCCCTATCAACCCGCTCCTGGCCGTGCACTATCTTTATATATCGAGCAATGTCAACAACCTCCTCGAAAGTAGCACCAGACACTCTCTCTCTCTCTATTCATAAGCACCTGCAGCTGAAATGTAAGGCCATCAATGAACCTCCTGATCCTCTCGCTATTAGTGGGAACCAACCAAATTGCATGGCGGGCCAACTCAAAAAATCTCATCTCGTACTGCGTCACAATTATATCATCCTGACGCAACTGCTCGAACTGTCTGCGTAGCTCCTCTCTGCGAGACTGCCGCA